TCATTTCAATTTATATGTTAACTAGTCGGCGTCCCCTCTCCAGCCCGGAGTGTGGGCAGACTGGAGCAGCAAAGCACAGTAGTAGTCAACTCAAGAATATTTGGCTCAATGACTTACCCTCTCTTCCTTGGCTGCCTTACTTCAAGCTCGCGCTGTCCCTGCTATTCTCCCTGCTCCTGCTCCAATCCTACAGCAGCGTTCCCGAAGAACGTTTTCTTTCCGCCGCCTGGCTTCGTGACATCGCATCCTCCTCACCGTAAAGTGCAAGTGATCTTTACCGCCCCCTCCTACTTGATTTGGAAGAATGATTCAATAGGGACGCTTTCATTTCCTTGGATTTGAGTAAACAAATCAATAAATCAATAGAAGGGCCTACTGAACCGCCGCGAAAAGTAGCCCTAACCACCGCCGGGATCGAAAACATACATGTGCGAAGTTTCAGCTCAATCGGTTAACAGCTGGCGTTTCTATAACGAACTAACAACCTAACGAACATCCTCATAGACTTGAGCTTTATAATATACATAAATGTCGAGAATTTCTAACAAGGGAACGATCCCAACTTAAGGTGGCGAATTGGGATGAACCGCATATCATTAGATGCGTTTTGATGAGCTAATTCCAAATCTACCTTCCATATCTGCGACAACGTTATCTGGAAGAAGTTATGAAAGGTAAAAACGTGAAGTAATGGGGCTTTTAGTGCATAATTCGCTTCAAAATCCAACTTGGGAGTGTATGACTAGCATGATATTGAGTGTACTGGTTTCAAGGAATGCTCACACTCTAATGAAACACAAATAAGTGTTTTTGAACAACTAATTTTCGAGGTATTGCTATGTATATTTGCCAAATTTAGACTTTTCATTGCTCACAGCTTTTACCAAAGAACTTTAGTTGCTTTTTAGCTGTTCAAAAACACTTATTTGTGTTTCTTTTGAATGTGAGCATCCCGTGAAATCAGTACACTCAATATGATGCTAGTCGTGCACTTCCAAGTTGGATTTTAAAGCAAATTATGCATCAAAACCCCCGTTACTTCACATTTTTAACCTTTCATAACTTCTTCCAGATAACGTTGTCGCAGATATGGAAGGTAGATTTGGAATCAGCTCATCAAGACGCATCTAATGGTATGCGGTTGATTCCAATTCGCCACCTTAAGTTGGGATCGTTCCCTTGTAAGGATGGTGGAAGATCAAACGACTGATGAAGTTTGGGACCTGAAAATCGGCTATAGTTGCCAATATACATGCTCACTTTCATGTCTTGTCCCTATCAAGGCGATTTAAACAGACAAACAGAAGTCTGCTCCTGAAGTACTTGCCAGAGGTTTCGATGGTTTTTTCCATCAAGCATCTAAGCTTGGAAGGAATTCCACCAAGCAAAGTCATGTCCCTTGAAACACAAGTATGTATATAGAAGCTCTTATTTATACTATATACTCCAGTACATACGGAATACTCTTTTCTAAATTTCTGCCAGCTTTTATTGCCATTTGCAAATTCCTCGACTTTGGCATCAGCGTGCACTCAACGAATGCAGACACACAACATGCACGTTGAAGAAATTTGAAGTGAACATGCTCCAGAAATTGAGAATCCATTATCACGTTTCCCTTTGGTCCATAATAATCACTTAAAATTCTGGCTGACTCGTCAAAGGCAACTCCCACGCAAAATCTATGCTCTCCGATTTATATACTTGGTCGAAGTGACGTCTCCATATGAAATGTACATCATTTTATAGAGCATAGAATGCTGATTCCAAATTTGCCTTCTGGGAAGAGGGCAATGGGAAATTTATGAGGTAAAATCTCCAATGTTTGGCTAAGGTAAAACCAAGTGCTGGGGCCCGAAGCTTGAAAGGAGTAAAGGCTAGCATGAGGTTATTGGACTAAACGTATTGATCGCATAAAGCGTCCTGTCAATAATCATGGCCCCCTGGGCTTACCGACTACAAATTTGAATGATTTTATTGTAACCGCGCGTTTGAGTGCTTGCCTCAAAAAACTTTTTCGCTTTCCAGAAGCACTTCAGGCTTGGGCTCCCGAAAATTGGGTTTTTTGTCGTTTTGCACATTTTGCACCTCATCTGCGATCAGGGCCATGGAAAGGCCCCAGAATGACAAAAACACAAAAGAGAAGATTCGAATGGATGGTGCCATAAAACCTTGTTCTCTACAAAAAGTGTGCCAGTATAATGCAATAGATTACAGCAGTCTGTAGCCTCGTTGGGAAAAGCTTTCTCGGTTTCATTAGATATGCAAACTCCCATTGCAGTGTTATTGTGTTTCTGTTTTCCCCTTCACCATTAGAACTCACAAAGATGTACATCACAGACGTACTGCTTGTCTGTCAGTTCGCTCATGATTGTCTTGCTTTATGATGGCGCTGTGGTTTTCATACCGTTAGGTTTAGATTGGATCTTTCTCTTTCTACAGCTAATATAGACTTAATACATATAATTATAGGTACAGTCGAGTAGGTTTCCTGCTTAATATAGTGTCCCTGCAGACGCGACAACGCTGAGGCTCAATAATTGCCTAACGGGTTCCCAAGCTAGTGTTTTCCAGATTTTCTTTGCTTATTCTATGCTTTTTAGGTACTTCGTTGCTGATAAAGAAGAAAAGGGTAAGTTAGAGAATAGTTTCTGTTTTTTGAGAAGTTCTATCATCGCATATTCACAGTTATCCACTTGGAAGCAGTTCGCGTCAGCTTCTTGTCTATTTCTTTGCCACTTCATGTCTCTTTCTTCTTGTGAGGTACTTCTTTGAACGCTAGTGGGTTTTTACGATTGACTAAGTGTTTCTATCACAGGAAGTACTTGATTAAAATGCTATTTCTTATGGATGAAAACCGAAGTTGCTGCAAGACAAGCCAACTACCGTTCAAAGAAACGCCTCACAAGAAGGAGGAGGTTTGAAAGAAGAAGTGACAGAAGAAAAGGAAATGACAAAAAAATAGACAAGAAGCTGACGCGAAATGCTTCCACGTGGATATCTGTGAATATGCGATGATAGAACTTCTCAGAAAACAGAAACTACTCTTTAACTTACCCTTTTCCTCTTTATCAGCAACGAATCAACTAAAAAGCATGAAATAAGCAAAGAAAACACCAGAAAACACTAGCTCGGGAACTCGCAAGGCATTTATTGACGCCCCAGCGTTGTCGCGTCTGCAGGGACACTATATTAAGCAGAAAATCTACTCGACTGTATGTAGGCTATATCTCCACCGTCGGTCGCAGGAACGCATGAAATGAGGCAGCGCGAACGCGCAGCATGCGGCGGAATTATTAGGTTGTCCGGAAAATAATGCAGAATTGGCAATGCATTTTCAAAAGGGTCGTTCTTCTGTACAATATATGTAAATCTTGCGAACAACTTCGCGTACTATAAGATAGCGCTCTTCATCCCCTCTCTTATGTATCTTTATTTTAAAATCAGCTCCATTTGTTCAAGTTCTACGACCATCCGAAGATGAAGCTTTTTATCACAAAATTTACCTTTGTACTATTCTGGCTTGAACTTATTCGGCGAGAGCAGTATTTCCATGATAATGTAGCTAAAGCAAAATGTTAAGTGAAAATACTGAACGGTAGCGCTTTCTTCTAACAATTGTGAAAACAAAGAAATTAAGAGTTTAATGAGCAATTGTCGCGGTTACTCAATGGCTTAGAAAACTTTTTGAGAGAAAGCAACCCTGAAAATTTCTCCAAGTGCTCAAAGAGTGGGGCCACTGCCGTCAGGTACCATTTCAAGTGGCACTCTCGGGCTTTGTTTTTGGTGAGTAAATAGAAAAAATTCGAAATTTTCGGAGATCGCAGCCGTAGAGAAAACGTCGGAAAAATGGAAGAATTTGATTCCGCAGTTTTTTGTTTCGCAGAAAACTCCTTAATAAAATGTCTGCATAGCTATATAAATTGTATTGATTTGTGGCTAAAACTCTTCTCACTTCTGGTTTTCAATAATTCTGTTTTTTGGATCTGCTGGTATAGAGACATGCTTTAGATAGAAAGAAATTTGCTGATCACAGTGGTACACACCCCATTTCAAAATATGCAATTTCAAAGGAGTTATGAGATTTTGAAGCGAAAATTTGCGAAGCGTGCATTAATTTCCGGACAACCTGATAGCAATCTAGCGCAGAAGCTAGCCTTTGCTCAAGCATTCTAACCCTACCTTTCTATTTCATGTTCTTTTCTCTTGCTAAATATTCAGTTTCTTTTGGAGTTCTTTCCTTGACTACGTAGGGAATTCAGATGATGCCATGCATATTGCATGATGAGCATTCGAGTAGAAAATGTATGGTTTTTTGTACTAGTTTAAAAATGGTCATACACTTTAAAAATAAGATTCGCACGCTATGCGCACGTGGCACATATGCTTCATAACATATTACTTACTATGGAAGAAGAAAAACATGTTCGAGAACCAAACAACGTGTGCAATCCGCCCTTTTTACTCCTTTGACCTTATTATTAGAAAAAAGTGATCATAATGTTAGATGAACCGCGATCACACAAGCTAAACACTGTCTGTTATGTTAGCGATAGGGAAAAGAGGAGTAGCAAGGTTGTCGTTGACATTATCATTCTAGACTATGAGAAACATTATCTATGTAAATACTGGCAAACAAAACTAACTCAAGAAAAGGTGTAAGACATGTACGAACAAGAAACAGTCGAAAAGAGCGATGAGTTGAGCCAACCATAGATCTGAACGCCATGCGCTTTCGCGCTCGCCTACCATTTTCGCTGCCCGCATCGCGCGCGTAGCCTCAGCTCATGGGATCCCACCACCGATGCTGGATAATATAGCCTACATATTCTTGTATTCAAGTGCTTATATCTATGCCTCTTGGCTCTGTTCTTTTCTTTGCCTATTTCCGAAAAATCTCGTAGTTAAAGATTTGATGTTGTCATTAACTATGATCCTTCCTGTTGTCACGTCAGGCAATAGCGCTTCTACATTCACTGCTACGATTTACCATTCTGCAGATGAAGGAAGAAGCACAAGCATTTTACGCAATCAAAAATGCATCTGAGCTTGAAGAGTTGATCGTCTACCATAAGGTCAACATTAAGCTTGGAGCACTTTGCTCTGCACTATCATTACTTTTGCTCTATTGTTTACTATCCAACAAGTATTTCCGACGAACAAGAAAGGTAATTTTTTAAGATTGGAGTTACCGTGAAGTGCAAGTTTTGGACCTCTTGTTTATTTCAGTTGATAATAGCGTTGGCTTTTGCTGATTTGATGAATTGCGTTGGAATCCTCCTCATGGGTGTGGACCGGTGAGTGCTACACGAACTCTCCTGACAGTTATAGTGTAGTATATCAGTTCTGAACGCGGCTATGGAGATTAGCATACATACGGCTCACTTTATTCGAGGCAGCTGGGAACGGTCCTTTTGCAACATTGGTCAATCCAATTCCTTAATTGGAACAGCAGATGCTAAAGAATTCTGCAAATGCGAACCAAATCGACTCTCTAGTAATCTCCAAATTCTTTTTCATTAAAGCTTGGCATTTTTGTAAGGCACACAAAACTGAGAAATATAAAATGTTTTTTTTAAGTTGCGGTGATATTACTCTTTACATCCTCTCTGGGCACTCTACATTTTTCCTAGCTCCTCCATAGACAGTTGCTCGCCTTCAGTAGCCAGCTTACACTTAGATTTGGCTAGAGGTGATGTCACAGAGGTTGCCGCTGTCGCCGCTGTTCCGTTCTTATCATTTTTGAAGCTATTACTAGCGTTGCTCGATCATCTTATATCCGGGACGTTTTTCATATCAGGGGGCGTGGTAAAACAATGTAATCATCAATCATTTATTGAGACGCGATAGTTCATGAAATATGTGACTGCATGCTCTTGCTTTGAATATCGATAACATCCCCTACTAGGTAACAAGGAACAAAACCAGCAACAAGTTAGTAAATTGACAACTTAAACTGAGAGGTGAACGGAGATGAGATCTGTACTCCTCAACAGCTTTAATACTGACAAAGTTGAGAGGTAAAACCGAAAAGCGTAGCCCTTTGACCTGTGCTAACAGCGGTAACATCGATAATGACGGTGTCCATCGCTTTTGTATGACTCACCTTTTTAAGCTACATATGAGTAAATAAATAAATCATCGAATTTGACAGACAAATAAACAAGTACCGAGTACTACGCAACAAATCGCAAAGTAGCATGCAGCTATTGAGATCAGTCAATCGCTGTGGCGGCTTGATGGATCCGATGCACTAAATTTTTACGCAAAAAGCTGACTCGAGCGCGCGACGAGAGTTACGAACAGTTTATCTTTATGAATAAAAAAAAAGAAGTACTACTAATATGGATACTACCTGATCTACAGCTTCTAATAAAGACCTAAACACGTGACAGTTGCTTTATTCCTGCTATCGATCGCGTGCTCTCAAATCGCAGATGTCCCAAGGCTGCGGGCCCAGGGAGGTTAATTAACCGCGCTTGTGAAGGTGAGACACGACACGACCGTCTCTCGGCTCCTAAAACATAAATTTTCTACTATCACAAGATGCCCCGAAAGAGGCTTGCTTGAAATCTAAAATCAGCTCAAATCAAGTGCGGTTGGCTTAGCACTCAGCGCAAAAAAAGATAATCAAAGGCGATAGCTTGTCAGCAAGCAGGAGTCCAAAACCAAGCACTGCGAAAGGATATCGCCCAAAAAGAATGTAGGTCATCGCGAGTCAGAATCAAACGATCTTCATGAATTGTTGAAAACAGTCATTCATTCTACGATAAGTATCCAATGATGTAATAAATTTTTTTGATTTCAACTGATGTTAATCTCCATTTAGGTCCTTACTGTACTATAATATCATCCACGTGGGGCAAGTCAACCTCGAAACCAGTTGGTCGTGTGCGCGACAATTCTGGCTGCTTGTGAAAACGACGGGTACGAAAACACTATGATCAATTAATACATTCTATCACAAAGCGCGATAAGAACTTGGTGCAGCTCCAAATCCCACTTGCAAGAACTCGCAACATCATCCAATGGCAATAAAACTTTTTTCGAAAATCTATGGAGGAATGAGGAGGAACGAAATTTTATGAAGTGAGGACGTGGTCACAAGGGAAATGTGAGCCTACGATATATCATATCTACTTCGGCTCACACATAGTTCATTACGAACTAAAATGGCTGCAGCTCTTATACACAGTAACAACTTTCCACACATTCCTTCTACGATGTTAAATACTGGTGCTACCGTAACCTGGAGACGTGTGAGCAACAAATCATGCTAACAGCAACTAAACTGCGTCCATCATCACTATAGTGTGTGTTAGTTTTGGAATTCACTTTTTTGATGTTGCTTATCAGGTGACATTTGGCCTCCAATAGTTCAGTGCTTCATGGGAACCGAAAAGCTTTTCTCAGTATACTGCAATACCAGTTCGCATAGAAGGTCAATGCAAAAGATCTGTTATACGTGGCGCACTGAAACCTTTGCTTCAGAACAAACTTTCTTGTCCTGTCTAGCATTTTGATGACACTGACTGTGCTAATTACGGGCTACCTATTAGCTTACTGCTCAAGATTTAATGGTAATGTGAAATTCTATTGCGGAAGAAAAGCAACTTTTGGAAGGTATTGTCTACGTAATGCTGGAAAAATTGCTGATCGATTTGTTAAGGGTATTCTCTGGCTTCATTTACACTCACAATGTTATTGGTTACGTGTCTGGTGTATTGCTCAACACCATCGCTCTGCAAAGTATAGAAAATAAGCCTAACGCAGTGACAGCAAGCAAAAGGTCTGTTTATGTCTTAAAGGCAGTGTCTCACCAAAGTTGAGCTCGCGCGGATCTCCATATATTCTATTATAGGGACCTCTAAATAGGCCATTGCAACAAGTCCCACTCAATTTGACCCCCTCCACGCTGAGAAAAATTCGCTCAAAGTGGTACGCGGAGAGCGAGTTGGTACGCGCGGACGACTCCTTCGGTCTCCCCCTTTACGCGTTTGAACATGTCCCTCCACTTGGCATTCACCTCCCCTCTGTTGCTGCCACTGTGGCTGAGGCTGAAGTTGGAATGTACAACTCGTCCACGTTGCTTCCACGGGGCTTCGAGAAAACGGGGTTTTTGGGAACTTCGTGCAATTTTAAGCCCATCCAGTGCTAGACAGGGTCCGACAGGCATGCAGATTGCAAAAATCTCGACAACTAAATTTTGGTGAGACACTGCCTTTAAGCGGCCAGACGTACCAGACAATTTTGAAAGCCGATATTGTCCCGATGGAAATTCTGCTAAGTTAAGGAGTAATTCTTTTGTGCTAATTCTTCAGTAAGGTTGTATTAGTGCCGCCAAGTTGGCTCCGTTGTTCAGGGTGAAGATTAAAACGATGTTATTGCAGGAATGAAGATGATCGAATTCAGCAGATACGGTCGTGTCTTATTGTTTCTAGCATATCGACGATTCTCGTATCGTTACCAAACTGCCTCTCTCTTTTCAGTCTTTTAGTGACTTCGGTGAGTTCGACCATTTTAGAACTGTTCAACTCGCGTAGCACTTTACCTTCTTGTCACATAAAACTTTCATGGAAGCTTTTTCCCGCGCACCATCGCTGTTTTCATCCCAAAAGCAAATTTAACAAATCAGAAAAGCAGCTGACTTATCTTGGTGGAAACCGGGATGTACCCCGTGGTCCGATAGTCGCTTGCGCTTACTTTGTTTATGCATCTGCCTTTGTCTGGGACTAGCTTTTTTAACATATACCGGTTATTGAATATGAGCCACTGCGATGCACTACCTAGCTTCTAAGTGGAAGCAGCATCTTGGAAATCCCATGACAAGTCAATTTGAAAAAATCAGATATCAATTTAGGCTTATTGAGCCAAAGAAGGGAAAAGGGTGAAATTTGATAAAGCAGGAAGGATTATTGCGAATTATCAAAATATCTTCGTTTTTCATCTCTGTTTATTCTCGCACGTTTCGCCGGCATAGTTTGTTTTTTTAGTCAAATTCCATACGAGTTCTTGGAAACCGACCCCAATTCTTCTCACTTCCCTATTGATCCGTCTCCAAGTTTTTGTCAAGACTAGTCTTGTAATGTATGCCCTGTCGCCAGTCCTCTTAGGTAGGTCCTATCGTACATCTCTCCATAAGACACTGGGCTTCCCGCATAGATGGCACTCTCATATATTAGGTTGTTCCAAAAGTAAACTCTATTTTGAAATAACTTGAGCTGTTTTGGCTTTCCTGGCAGATTTAGGGAACCATTCGATAGAGCGGAGCAAGCTCTACAAAAAGGCCGCTAAGATCCACCTAATTCGTGACCCAAGTAAAATTTAAAGCCGAAAATCAAGACATTTCAGCTACTCCAAAAATCGGATCCCTTTCCAGAAAATTCCTACGGACTTCCAACTTGGTTTACATAGTAGACACATGGTAGTACTCAAAAATGTATTTGGCAGATTTTTTCCGAGGTTCAAAATTGAGAAATAAAGGTAGTTCCAAAATGCCAAAATGCCACTTTTTTCGGTTTTTAAAATCAAAACTTGGTATTTCTTGATTATAAAAACACATGCGGGGTAAAATTCTAAGTTATACTTAGTAAGGCTTGTAGTATACAATGATATATGTAGGAGGGACGGGGGTTTCTTATTTTTCTCGCTTTCTATGCTCAGAGAAAATCCAGGAAAGGCATATTTGAGTGCTATTATGTTTCCATTGTATTATATAACTAGTTGGCAAACCCGGCTCCGCCCGGGCCTGTCAATAATATATTTGTAATCAGCATGCTCGATTACCCCCCTGTGCCAACTCCCAGCCCTGTAGCTCAAATTTTGCAAAAAACCGATAAAATCGATATCGATCAATAACGAAAAGTAGCCTATGACACGCTCTCTGCCCCGAAGTATATGTGTGCCAAGTTTGGTCCGAATCGGTTCAGAAATAAAAATTTCTATTCCGCACATACGTACAGACATACAGACACACATTCAGCTTTATATATAAGATGAAAGTTGGAGATTCATAGGGTTTTTCTTCGCAAAAATCCAAATTTAGGTGACAAAGTTTTTTTCGATTTTGGCTTCAAACTTTCCATGGAATGCGACTTAGGTGGATCCTTGGTGGTCATTTCGTAAAGCATATCTGCTCTATCGAATGATACTCTAAGTCTATTAGGAAATCAAAAGCTTGAATCATTTGAAAAAAGTTTACTTTTGAAACAACCTAATAGTTTGTTGGCGAAACTGAAGCAACATCAACAACTAAACCTTGGCCGTCTACGTGAAACGACATTTAGCCATGTTTGGTCTAATTCTCTACTTACACGTCGAGCTTGGAAGGAAGCTGCTGTCACAATGCCTCAGCTTTGACTTGCCTTTCTTCCTTCTCTTCTTGGTGAAAGCTTCTTACTTGGCTTGTCGCATTCCCTCTGAACTGGTTGCTCTGAAATTGTGAGTAGAATTATGCCGAAAATCAAGCTGAAGCTTTTCTTTGAAGATAGGTACCAATATTGCTTCAATTTTCATACTAAACGCATACTGACTACATACAAGACATATTGCCTCATTAGTCTATAGGTTCCTTCCAATGAGCTTTTGCGTTAGACCTGACACTGAGAAACACAAAGATAGTGCCAAACCTAAGTTATTTTTCAAATTGATCGTCTAACTACTATTTCCAGGTCAAAGACAGTATATCCAAACCAGCGGTTTGGGCTACTTGTATTAATTCTGGAGTCAACTTGTTCATCTATCTGGCTCTGGACCATGAATTTCGCCAACATTTTGCATATCTATTGAGAAGACGGAAAGTATCCTTAGAGCTCAAAGAACAGGATCAACGGCTCCAACATCGATTATGCCAATGTCGTTCTCGAATCATCACTTGTGAAACGATTGCAGACTCTGAAACAGATTTTGTGAGGCAATCGCTCAACTCGGAATCACTATAGATCTCTTATGTCGTGCGATTGAACTTATCTGATGGAAACAGGTAAATTGATCCTGCCGCAATGGATGCTTATTCTAGATTATGAAGCCTTATTCATGATTACAGCGCATCGAAGAAAGTATGAACCCTATAGCGGCGGCTATCCGGTCCTGAAGCGGTATTCCATATGGAAGAATTAAGAATTAAGAACCCAGCCTCCACTTTTTGGAAGCGATGTAGAGCTGCGATATTAGCTGTCCTCGTCACGCCAATGCTAGCTTAATGGGAGCGCCTACATTCGCAATGAGTATATGATGACTGTATGTGCTTCATGATATAAACATCTTATGTCGAGTATTGCGGAGATATCTTAGTTATGGAATTTACAATTTTGTATGTTGTTTTTCATGAAAGTAGCGGGAGTATACCTTATTTGTATTAAAATTGTCCACTGGCAAACTGGCCCAATTCCTAACGAGCACCGTCAGACATGTTGCTCTAGAAATGCAAAGCAATCCAATACTGCAAGGAACCATTTTCACATATCGAAAAAACATTTGATTTCTGATTTTATATAGAAACTGCTTTCTTTTCTGCATCTGCGGCAGCATATTAGTCTCTCCGGATGGATTCCACAACTGTTCTAGACGTGGTAAACGCTGAATCCTTTCCCTCTGCAATAAGTAGAAACCTGAAGAAAGCAGCAAAAATCGGAAAATGGCACTTTCAAGTCTAACCTAGATGATGCTGTACCATAAGCAAGCTTATGTTAGGCCGGATGCTTTTGAAAGAAGAACCTTGCTTACAACAAAATGAAGTCGAAAAAAGATCACAAAGTTGTTCCTCAAAATCGACTTATTTCTTTTCAGAGGTTGTTCTCGTAAAATAGAGGAAAAAAGAGTGTACCACTGCAGAGCGTGTTGTGTAGTGTTGTAGTTGTGATATGTGCACAAAAAGTCGAAGAGTGGAAATAGACAACAAGGAAATAAGAGAAATTGAAGAGAAAATTGCAAGCATGAAGAGAAA